ATGCACACATAGCTACGACTGAAAACAGTCATGCAAAGACCCATGACAAGGGAGTGCAAAGGATTTCAGGCTGGGCTAGATCCCTGATGTCAAATAGAGGCAGGGCCTCCATCCTCCCCCAAGTGGATGGGCAGGCAGCTGCTCCACAGTCCTACCAGGCACCTATGCCTAATAAGACCTAGTAGGTATGCTCTATATAGGCACACCTATAGGATGGGATGACAGATTGCATTAAAAATCAGTTGTATGCGACAGCTACAGATGGGAAAGATTTTTATCTTCCAAATCCTCTTCCGCGGGGTGGCACACAGATAAACAGTGATACTTCTGATGAGTGACTGAAGAGGCAAACATTTTCCACCAGTGCATCAGCCAGCCTTGTTCCTGAGCCAATCCAGACAACACAATGATTAAAGCACCATAAGCTTGTTGACACTAAGCATGCCCACAGATGGAGACTCGCTGGCACCATTCCCGCTGGGAGCAATGGGGGGGGGGAAGAAAAATTACAGCAGAGGGTTGGGTGAGGAGCTCGAAACCTTATTCTCTACATCTAGGTTTTCCTGCAAATTAATCTGCCTCTTTTTTTTCCCTTTGCTTTGGGTTTGGGCTTTTTGTTTGTTTGGTGCAATCCAATTTCCCTCGCGCAGTGTTCGGCCTGCCAGCTCTGATGGCTTGCTTTCTCTATATGCATGGTTTTCTTGATCAAATCCATGAGAAGTGTGTATATATTCTGGTCCCTTGGGACTCTGCATGCCTCAATTCCAGCAGGATTTGGAGTAGAGACTGCGAAACTGCCTGCTGTCCGAGCCAGCCCCTCTCTCTAGGTGAACGCTTGGGCAAAGGGGTCTGGAGATACAGTATTAGATCTGGCTGCTTCCATCAGATGTGGGAGGCTAGGGAGGGTGCCTCTGAATGTAGGGAGGTAAAAATTATGGTCAAATCAACAATCCACAGGTATTGTAAATAGACGTTGCCATCCCACCCTCCTGAATTATTTCTGTGGACACCCTTGATCAGCAGAGCTCCACTAAGAGTAATGGAAGGGTAAGACAAAAATCCATGATCTAAAGAAATCATCTATGGGTTCTTTGCCCATGTATTTCAGCAGAGTTCATGCTGAAGAAATGCGGCCACGGTTAATTTGCTTGTATGCTTTAATCCTAGCAACAGCGTGCTTCTCCCCAGCATACCGCCAACTTCAGGTTTGATCTCATCACCATTTATATTTCTATCATTTCCCCAAGTGACACCAAACCTGGAAAGTTAATTTCAAAAAGTAATTAGTTACAATTATGGGCACCAAGGGAAAACAATATTTTAAAAAAGCAATTCTTCATTTCCCTGTGCCTCGGGAGTAAGCAAATATTTCTCTTGTCACTTTGGGAGAACAATTCCAAATGCTAAAGGCCACTAGCCTGTGAAACAAAAGTACACTTTACTTTTGACTATATCTTCGTCCCCTCAACCCCATAATACAGCACATACAAGCAGCCTGAGCCAGCGCCTGAGTTATAAAATATTCTCCGTTCCTTGTTCAGCAAGGCTAGATCTAGGTAACAATAAGAATAAACAGTTACCGTTACATATCAAGACAAGCGAAGTTATCCCCCATTAAGATGCAAGTGCAATGCGGCATAAATGTAATATACTGGAAACTAGTTATAACATTCTTTCA